GCATTAATCTCCTCTGAGTTCGCACCTGCAGGCCTATAAAACCAGATCCAGCGTGGTGGGGAGATCACCTGTGTTTGACTTGGTTGCAGGGGCTCACTTGTACACGTGTAGCTTTGAAGCATGTTGTGACAGAGGAGTGGATGGTGTTTCTGGTCATGATGCATTGCCTGTCTGCATAGTTGGGATGCAGTGAAGACATGTAGCAGTGAAACCTGACCAGCAGCATACACACTGTTACACACCATTCGTGAGCCAGACACCAACTGGCCTTGTCACCACTGCACATGAGAAACACATGCTTGGAGTAAACGGCATGGTTCAAAAATGTTTGAGCAAATTCTGTCCTCATTTGTTGATAAAGGTGTTGACTTGCTATACAGCCTTGAATATTTATGTGCTTTGGGAGGCCAGTGAAACCTCAGTAACGCACTTACACGAGGTGATATAATGCAGATAGTAAATAAGAGAACATTTCAGTGGAAATATTCAACTTAGTCTTCTATTGTCCAGTCAAAATTAATTACTCTATTAGTTGTTGGGCATTTGGTGTTTATTCAGCAGTAGTCTTCTTTCTTAATCTTAGAAAGCTTAAAAAAGCATAAATTGATTTCTCAACCGTGCCCTCCTCAAACCACTGAAGAAGAGTCTCTGAGACACGTGAAAACCCTTGATCACGATCACTTTGATTATTGTAAAATAAAAATATTATTTTTTCAATGGTCACTTATAGCTGTGACTTTCCTGGCTTGATTTTTTTTTAAATCCTCAATTGCCAGTATATGATTTATATATCGCAGTGTTGTGTCAAATAACTGAAATCCAAAGTTTTTCCCACATATCAAATGATAATTAGTTGTACAGGTAGCGGTGCTTGAAATGCATACCCTAACTACTGTTCAATAATAAGACATTCACATAAAATCAACACAAATCCGCAGTGTTGCAGTTAAGGTGAGGAAATTCCTGAGGTTTAATTCGACCAGTGAAATCCTGTGAATGAATTCATGCTGTATCTCTGCACTTGGAGAAGCTTCATTTTCTGACACACAGCTCTGAGAGGGAGAATGCAGCAGAGCCAGCTACGTATTACATAAGCATACTGATGCAGAAGATACAGAGCAAATATTTTGCTTTGCATAGCTTTCCTTCATCCAGTCTACTTTTGCCTGTCTGCTGCTTGCCTTGGACTGAGTGAGTGGGTCAGTGTAAACACACAAAGACAGGATCTGCAACATTCATCCGACCTTCACGCTCTCAGCTTCATGTGTGGACAGCAGCACACACAACACGTGACTCTGTAGGTTTTTCTCCGTTTGATCATAATTTACTTGCTGTAATGACTTTATCAAAGCTTCTCTGGAGGAAAATTGAAAACACAGTCATGAGATCTTGTCCGTAAGAATCTCTTACAATGGATGCATGCATCGACTACACTTATAGCCTCAAATGCACCAGGACTCACTGGATAAAATGAGAGTGCAAAACTACACTCTCTTTCATGTTTTTTTTTTCCTCTTTATCTCTTTCTCCCTCTTTATCTCTCTCTGTTTCTCCCATCGGCTACGTCTCAGGACATGTCAAGTCATATGCCTCTTTCTCTCTCTCTCTCTCTCTCTCTCTCTCTCTCTCTCTCTCTCTCTCTCTCTCTCTCTTCCCATATCTTTTCAAAACCCTGAGAAGACTCCAGGGATACAGCTGCTTTTTGCAGGAAAAAGAAAAGACTCCTTTTCACAAAAGTCAGAGTTTGCACTTTTTTTTTCTCTTTTTGAGCAAAGAGAAATATACAGTGAAATAAATGTTTATGTTTTTTTATGTAGGAGTGAGAAAGTTCCTTCCTCTTGGGAAAAAATATGGCAATTCATGTTTTTCTCCCTACTCTCCTCCCAATTAGTTGGAATGTGTTCATTTTTGTGGTTTTATAGCCTGTGCATGTACTTATTTCCCTGTTTCGTGTCATTTCCCTGTTTTATTGCCTGTAGCCTGCCTAAACACAACTGTTCCATGAGGGTTGGCTCTTGCTCTCTTGTACTGAATAATTAATACATTCTGCTTTCTAAAGCAATGGAATTTGCATTTTGCTGCATCTGTATTTATGTCAATCCAGTCTTACTTTGACGGTGCTTATTTTTCCTGACAGCAATTCTATAATTAAATAAAGGCATAGAATTAGCAGTATGGAAACTGAATTGGTCTGTGAAGTTGAAGTAATTTTTCACAGCTGTACATCAAGGAATTTCATGATATGTGAAACAGTTAAGTGTTGATGGTTTGTGTAAACTGTCAGCCAGCGTTGATTGTGTTCTTAAATGCCAAATGCATCATATTTTACCAAACAAGGACCTCCAGTGGCCATGTGGATTCTCTTGTCTGTCAGAAGCAAAAGCAGAAATAGTATGACTTTGTTATAGAGCTGTAAGAAATTGGAGTGGTTGGTTGGTACAGCAAAGCTTGTGACTATGACAAAGCTTTACTCCCTTTGTTGGGTTCTGATCGCCAGTTTCAGATTTGAAAAAGATTCTACCTGATTTCCTGAGCCCCAAAGCTAAGGAACTCTCCTCGCTGCAGTGACAACATAAATAAACATAGCCGGATTCTCATTTTAATGCTGGAGGTTACTCGCCAAAACGCAAAAATGAAACTTTGGTTTCAGCCAGCCTGTCTCTGTCCTCAAACCAAAGATTTGTTAGGTAAAAGAAGCAGCAATCTGTAACATCAAATCCTGCTTCACAGTATTACAAATCACTTTACAGTGTGTTGGTGTCTGAGAAGCCTTAAAACTCGTGGATACATTACTGAAATTGGACTTCTTGTATTGTATTTCATCTTCTCATCAACTCAGCCCCTCGTGTTGTTTTAACAAAGTGCTGGTTTTATGCGTGCACGCCGGCGACGGCCGGGGCCAGAGGCATTATGTTTTTAGGTTATCTGTTCGTACGTCCATAAATCCCATTCTCGTGAACCTGATATCTCAGTAACACCTTGAGGGAATTTCTTCAAATTTGGTACAAATGCTCACTTAGACTCAAGGATGAACTGATTAGGTTTTGGTGGGCAAAGGTCGAAGTCATTGTGACCCAACAAAGCAGGTTTTTGGCCATAACTCATGAATTCATATGCTAATTATAACACAATTTAACCCGAATGTGAAAAATGATTTTAGTGATGACATTTTATATCCAAAAGGTCAAAGGTCAACTTGACTGCGCCATCATGATGTTCTGCAAAAGCACTACTGGCTATTAGTCAAAGCTGTAACTCAGGAACTCCTGCAACTTGGCTGGTTGGCGGAGGCATACAACCGCGAGACAGTAATTCTAGTTGGTCTAAACACCAGGTCAGAGAGGAGACACAAGAAACTACCATCAGTCAACGTTAGTTTCTTTTAACCATGAGCACAATCTGTCCCTAAGTAGTTTTTATGCCTGAACTAAAGTAAACCTTAACCACAGTGGTGGCAGATGGGAAAACAGGCATATAAAGGTTTTGTTATCCACTATCAACTATGTCGTCCTGCCGATAGGGGAGCCAGATCAGAAAATGCTCATGAGTTGTTTCGGAGGGCAATAACAAATGACGTATTTTAATGTTTCGTTTGTAAAAGCTGTACAGCACAATTAAGAGAGAGAGATACTGCGAGGAGAGGGGGGGGGTCTTCTAGCCACAATGGCCAACAGGGATAAGGAAGAGGCAGAGGTCTGTTTGTGTGCTCGCTAGAGAGCTGGAGACCCTGCCAGGCAAAGTTTCCATGTTAAACTGGCAGGCATGGAGACCGAGAGAGAGAGAGAGGGAGAGAGAGAGGGAGAGGAAAAACAGAGATAGATCGCATAATAAACTAGTAAATGAGACCAAAAGGGAGGAAAAGAAAGAAGGAGCAAGAGAGAAAGTCCAGCAAGAGCAAGAATGCAATAGAGCAAAAGAAAGAGAGAGCGAGGGAGTGAGGGAGTGAGGGCCAGAGACAGAACAAGAACCAGGGGGGTGGGGGGACGGAATGTGCTGACGCGGCGTTTCTTGTTTGAACTCCCCAAATTAATAATCAGCAGCGGTTTAGCCGAGCTGTGCCAGGAACAGGAGCCTACTGCCAAGCCCCAGCCAGGCCAGGCCCTCCCTGCTCCCAGTGTTACCCCCACCCCTCACCCCCTACCTCCCCCTACTCAACCCCCAGCTCACAGCCCTGCTCGGGGGCCGAATAGGAGGCGCTGCCTGTCTGCCTGTCCTGGTCGGGCCGGGCCTGGCACACTGCCACAGGGCTTTTGCTTGTTCAGGAGTTTTGATTAAATCCTTTATTGTGCTCCACTCACGCAAAGAGCTAAGGCGAAACACCGAGCAGGATGGAACGGAGGGGAGGAGAGAAAGCGAGAGGGGAGAAAAGAAAAGGGAAAAAGAGAGAGAGAGGGAGGGGAGGGAGGGAGGGAGGGAGGGAAATGGGATCTGTCTCTTTTTTCCCTCTTGCTTTCTCCTTTTCTCTTTCTTTCGGACTGAAAAGATGTTTGATTTAGTCTATGGGGAGTTGTAAAGTAGATAAAGTTTTTTGCTCGCCATCAGCAGTCTGGATTTTTGTGGCCTTTTTATTTTCACTCGTCTGAATAAAGACCATTTTCAATCTTTTGTACAGTTACTATATTGTTCTGGTTTTATTATCATTTGTCTCATCAGCTAGACTTCCAGACTACAAACCAGCACAGTGACAGGCCTCAAATTGTCTCTGTATGAATTCATCTTAGGAGAGTTTGGATAACAATACTCTGCAAACAAACGCAACACAGAATACTAAATCCTCCAGTGCTTTTTTTACACAACAAGTGTGCTTTTTTCGAAATGGATACTGAACTCCACCTTATCATGTTTTATAGTTTTCTTGTATATGTACTCACAACATTATACACGCTCTATATCTCCAACTGCTCCTAGTTAACTGGACCCTTGTGAGTGCTGCAGCCCCCCCGTGGTCTTTCGGAGGCTTTGTGCCAGAAGTGTAACAGTGATTTGTGTTGTTGTTTCAGCTGTTTCTGTGCTGGACCTGAGCGAGCAGTTCACACCACCAGAGACGGCTCCCCCAGCTCTCGTCAACCTGATCCAAGCCATAGAGAGGAGAGGTATATCCATGTCAACCAGCCATCGTATTTGTCTGTCTCGCTGACTCTGTCCGCCTCCCCGTCTTTCCGTCTATGTGTGACTGTCTCCCTCCCGCCATCTGCCCCTTGCTCTCATGCCAGCATTTGCACAAGTGTAGACATATGGACATGTGAATGCAGTCAGGCAGTCACACAGATGTAGAAGAGTACACACAAGTTCATGCACACTCTTTGGACCTCCTCAGTTGGTTAGGGACTTGATAAAGGTTTTCTACACTTAAGTTTACTGTGGTTTTGAGCAGGGCTCGACATTAAAGCTTGTCCGGGACAAGTGGACTTTTTGTAGGGCAAGTGAAAGAGAAATTTACTTGTCCCACCAGACAAGTTAAAAGGCATAAACAAACAAAAAAAATACAGTGTTTCTTCATTATCTCCTTTCCTTTTGTAAGGGAAACTGTCTTATGCTAAAGGAGATAAGCTAGGAAGCATTGAAGCTCCTTTCCGCAGCATTTAAAGAATTCATCCAGCTCTTATCATGGCTGCCACCTCGATACTTTTACAGCTTAGATACTTAGACTTTTCAACTGCAGCTCTCATCTTTTCAGAGAGAGTGGGCCGGGTCAGGGGCCGTCGACACCGCTGGTGTGTACAACCAGCTGAGATGAGATATCTGATAAACAATAAGGTTTATTCAGAAAGGATCCAGACCCCTTGTTTTCACTCACGTTTTGTTATGTTGCAGCCCAATGCTAAAATTGTTTCAGTTCATTTTTTTCCCTCATCAATCTACACTCAATACCAATACCAGTTCCTTTGCCAGGAGTCTTCCTAGAGCTGGCTGCCTGAACAAACTCAGCAATCGGGGGAGAAGGGCCGATACTAGTTCCTTTGACCATGGTCCGGTTATTTGAACGTGTGCATATTAAACCTGCAGGGTGGAACCTCTGTCTCCAGGCAGTGAGAGTAATTGAGATAGAGGTAGAGTAAATACTACATAACCTAGTTCAAATATTTTACAAATGCCAGCCTGTGCAAAAGCAGTAAGGTGATATCCAGTCCCATCCTTTCTCAGTCCCTTCTCTACTTTCTCCACTCTCCAACGAGGAAAAGCCGCACCAGTGGCACTAATGGTGTTGGTCTTCACCAAGTTTCTTTTTTATCTGGCGCATCAGAAACTTTTCTTGGATGCTTCTTAGGTTTTTCTTTCCACCTATTCGCTGTAGCCTCCTCCGCTCCTTCTGACATAGTGTTCTGTTGTTTATATGCACATTGTAATCATATCTAGAGGCACCCAGACGGACAGCTGCACGTTGTTTCCCGGACTTTTAATGTGTTCCCCGAGTAACCCAGTACAACATGCTGAAGGTTCCTAACCCACGTGTTTCATCTAGGAACCTTCAGCATGTTGTACTGAGTTGCAAGGGGGACATATAAAAAAAACATCCAAGTAATAATGCAGCGGTGTGTCCAGTGCTTAATCGAGCCTCCAGATGTGTTTACAATGAACACATAGACACCAGAACACCCTCTTCACTCTCTGGCAAACTCACAGGTTAATGTAAAACGCATCACTACCGGTTGACAGTGGAAAGTCGCCACAGACGGGAGATTTAAACTCTGGTGTACAGAGAGATTTACCTACTGCTGATAGACTTTAACAGTATTGTGTGAACTTCTTTGGCAATGGCTTGAATATAATGGACGTTCATTTATGTTTAAAAGTCACACTCACCAGCTTTAACCCTTAGAGCCTGATTGATGCAGTTTGAACATTCAGGTTGAAACATGCACATGTGAAGAAGCAGTCCGCTAGAACTGAAACTAAACCATTTGGTTAGTGCTGGGATTCGATATTATTTTATCAAATCTGAATCCAGTATGCTGTTTCTTTGGGATTGGATGTGGTTAAATAGATCCAAGTTGAGTCAGAGCAGTTTTCATTGGCCTCACTGAGAGTCCTGCACAGTGGGTTTCATTCACACTATGTTATTAACAAATAGCGCTCAGTGGGTTTCCATTCACACTTTTTCTTCTTTTTTTCTGTCTTTCTTTTTACTTTCTGCCTGTGTTTGTCTCTCACACACACACATAGAGTATATGTAGGCCTTCAGCTAACAATTATTCATGTGATTTATTAATCTTCAGTTTATATTTTCAATTAATCAATTAATAGTTTAATATAAAAATGTCAAAAATTGTGGAAAAAAACCTCAATTTGGCAATATACCAGCATTGACAATAACCGTGATATTTATTTCTTTTCACTATTCATTAAATTCTTTTTGAGGCTTTTATGCAGTTATGATTACACACACACTCTCTCTCTCCCCCTCCCTCCCTCCGCCTCCCTACTGATGAACTACATGCAGATACTCTGATCATCCCTCTCATCCTTCTGTCTGACTTGTCTTCAGAAAGCCACCAAAATTCTTTCTAGTAAATATTTAGATATTGCTATCTACTAGAAGGGCGGCAGGAGGTCTTTCTCTGAATGTAAATACTATATGTAGCAGTAATATTAAATTATTTCCCCATGTTGCATGCGCACACACTCTGACTATATGGTTTGGTTTTCACAACTACCTGAGAGACTGGCTTGTCTCAAGGAACTGCCTCCTAGATGCAAGCTGTCTAGACCCAGTGTTTCTAAAGGTTTGTTTTATTTCAAGCCTGTGAAATGAGTAATGTAGTCATTCAGAGTTAAATGTTTTCCTCGCGGACATTTTCACAGGATGTGTGAAGTCGTTCCCTTTTTTTCAGGGAACAATCAGCTGAAAAGAATCTCGTGATGCAGGTTTCAGTGTAGAGTTAAAATTTTCTGTGCTGTGTCTGGCACAGAGCAGAGTCACTAAATGAATCACACATTTTCCACAAAAAAATAGGACAAACAAAAATGAAACACTTAACACAGGAACATTGGTTGGCTCTGCTCTTGTAAATATTGCTTGTACAAAAACATTTGAAGGATCAACTCTTCCCTAGTTGATTGATTTCCTTCTCTCTGTTCTTGGATGTGAGACTGGAATGAAAACAGCACGGAGCTGACATGTGCCGAGAGTTTTCAATTTATGTCTTATTTTATCTTTAGTGCTTTGTCATGTACAAGTTGTTACTCGCAAACTGACATTGTCCAGCTGCTAATAAAATGTCTGTGTTGCGTGTTCACCATTACTCTTGTATTACTTTGTCATAAAGTCATCCCCTTCATTAGAGTGAGCTACTGGCTGCAGTGTGGGGCTCACATGTGCATTTCATTTTATGAATATTTGTTACTTTGAATTCCTCTTGTTGCCCTTCAGGTTTCTACTTTCCTTAACTCAACTGCTTTTTCTGTCTTTCTCAGGTCTTGACTTCAAGACATTGTACAGGACAGCTAGCTCCGTGGGTTCAGACAGCCCAGTCAACAGCCTTAACTCTGGTGAGTTAGTTTTAATCCTAAATTGGATTTTTCAGAACGTTTCATTGACACGTTCGGATTGACACTTGCAGCATGTATGTTGCTTTTCACCTGCGCCTTCATATTTATAATGTTAAAGTATTTATATCAAGGAAATTGGTAGTTCAGCCAGTCGTCTACTGTTGGCCATCAAGTAGTTCAATGGTACATCTCACCTGCCTGTTAAAAAATGTAGCCCATTCGCTTTCCCTGCCCAGACCTGCTCAGATACCCTAATCTGTACTCATGACCCTCAGGTTGCCTCTAAATGCCTTTGCATATGTCTTTGTGGTCCAGAGAGTGACATGGGTCAGAAAGACGTGGGTTACCTCTCCGAGTGTGTCCTGCACTACCTGAGGGACCTCCCGTCACCTGTCATCCCCGCCTGTGTCTACCCTCACCTTCAAACTGCTGTCACACTGCAGCAGCAAGTCCTACAACAATCAGCAGGTGGGCCTCATGCTTAAAGCTGACACTTGAATCATGTCTTATGTATCTCCTTACTGAAATGGCTCATTAATGGACCATTAGCAGAGGTTTTAGCTGATACAAATCACAGATTCTACTCATTCCTGCCGACCATTTTCCCAAGCATACCATTACGCCATACCATATTTTTTACAATAACTTTCAACTTGCTTCAAATAGCGACATTTTGCCATCTTTCTTTCTTTTATTTTTTTCAATTGTGGCTCAGGAGACAGAGTGGGTCGTCAAAAGTAAGACGGACCACATGTACATGTTCTCTGTGATAGATTATCTGTCTCAAGTGAGATTCAAGTCTGTGCAAGTGGACGTCTTACACTCCTAACTGGAACCAGTGGCTTCCTGGAAAATAGGAAAAAATGCATTTTTCAGCCTAAAAACCCCGGTATGCTTTGTAAAATGGTCCACAGTAATGAGAAGCACACATAATTTGTAGATAATGGGCTTAAATATGCAAAAAGCCACTGGTATGTTCCTTTAAAAGACCAACTAAAGATTTATTGTTATAAATCATTCAGATTTCCTGACTACTTTAGATCCTGTATTAACATAATAATTCTAGACAGTTCTTGAATAAAGTTGATCTGTTTTGAAACAGAGGAAATAATCTCATCCTGTTTTATATTTAATTAAATATTTTTTTTGTTGTTGTTTTCAGAAAATATTTTTTGGACTTGGACTTGGAAAAACTGACTTGTTAAGATGGGGGTATTGTGCAGTGTAATAGAAAAGCATGAGCCCAAAATTGAGCGGTTTGCTGCTGATGCTGTGTTAGTTAACAGAAAGGCACCTTTCATTGCTTCGATGACTGTAATTCAAGTAAAAGAACTGCACGAGGCCTAAACTGAGTCTTGTATACTGGTGATCGAGGTCACTCGCATGTCAGCGTTGAGAGAATAGAGTTAAGTGTCGAGAGAGGATGAGCTCACTGAGGCATGTTAGAAATGCTTCAGCTGATTCTCCTTTACACAAAGCATACCATGACTCATTTCAGATATATACTAGAACTATTTACAGAAACATCCACTGTCCATGCATTGTCATTATCTGAAAAATTCCAAACTATAGATTATTTTAAGGATCTAAGTATGAGTCAGTTAAATACCTAATCTTTTTTTTCTTTAACAGCTTCATTCCTCAGGCACTCTGAGGAATGATCTGATATGGTTGTATAATTGAAGTGTATATATAATTGTTGAGCTTGTCACAATAGTTTTAAGTATAGGTCTTCTCTTCATATTTATTTGAATCACTCTTCCAGATGGTGCGGTCGCTGGTAGCCATGACAGAGAGGTGAGCCAGGTCCTTGAGAGCTCCACCACCGTCCCTCTCCATCACCGTCTCACCTTGCAGTACCTCCTCACACACCTGACCAAGGTCACCCAGGTGCAGGCCAGCAATGGCCTGGACACACACACGCTGGGAAAGATCTTCGGACCGCTGCTCATACGGACGGGCGCCTCTACTCCTTGGTAAATGATTTTGTCCTTTTTATACAGTAAAGAAAAGTTTACTTCCAGTAAAGAAAGTGTGTGAATTTTGGAGTCATTATCAAGGACTGGGCATCGTGGATTTGTCAGTTCTATGAGACGTTAGACTTGTAGTGAATCTAATTTGAATCTATTGAATATGCCATTGTTATACTGAACTATTGCTGTTGATTGATTGATTGATTGATTGATTGATTGATTTGCAGGTTGTCAGTGGATGAGAAGTTCCCTGCCCTTGTGGTGGAGAGGCTGTTGATAGAGAGAATTACAGAGCAAGACCTCACTCCTCCAGGTTTGTTTTATTATTATTATTATGACTGCACAGAACGATGTTTATATTACTTTACAGCACAAACACATTTTTACGGACAACTTTATATTTGTAGGTACTTTTTTCAGTTTCCAGTGGGTTTATAAGTTCAGTGACTCAGTGGCTTTTAACACAGATTTTTGTTTGTCTATGTGTGTGTCTGTGTCTTTTTGCAGTTCTTCCAGCAAAGCCAGTCAAGTCAAAAATGGCACCATCAGCCATGACAGACACAAGCAGCCTGCTTAACGATGCTGAGTGGTACTGGGGCGAAATCTCCAGGTAAAATATTAACAGTAAAGTCTAAAGTGTTTTTAGGGGAAATTTGATCACCGTTAATATTAGGTCTCCATCTATTTAAAGTATTCTGTGTTGTATTTTAGTCACCAATTACCACGTGCATACGCATCAATTTGCTAAATTTGTGATTGTGGAAATGATGTTATTATTTTGCAGTTAAATTACAGCTGATCACAGTAATCGTTAATGAAGTAAAAATGTTGCTGAATTTGCAGAGAGGAAGTGAATGAGAAGCTGCGAGACACTCCAGACGGCACCTTCCTGGTCCGAGATGCCTCAAGTAAACTGGAGGGCGAATACACTCTCACCCTCAGGTAAAGCACCACTTGTGGTTTAAAGTTTCTTTTTGAACATCAGCAGTGCTGACATACCATCTCTAGTCTGTGCACAGCTAAAAGTGTTTTTTCTTCTCATTTGGCTCCTGTCTCCCCCTGCAGGAAAGGGGGGAACAACAAGCTCATAAAGATTTACCACAGAGACGGGAGGTACGGCTTCTCAGAGCCTCTTACCTTCTTGTCAGTAGTGGAGCTCATCAATCACTACCGCCACGAGTCCCTGGCCCAGTACAACGCCAAGCTGGACACCAAGCTTCTGTACCCCATCTCCAAATACCAACAGGTTGGTGATGCTGCAGATTATGGAGCAGTTTGTTGTTTTTGTAGTGAGTCTTCAAATTCACTTCACAAACTTTGTATAATCTAATTGAATTACAAGCAAACTCCTTCTGCAAGCCTCCTTTGATTTAGAAAATGCTTGGCAATGTTGATCTCATTCCTTTTATGAACAACAATGAGTACGGCCTGCTTGAATTGTGTTTCATTGTTTCATCTGTCAAATTGGTGACATCACTTTCCGCTGCTTTTTGCCGTTCTCAGCTGGTGAAGGAGAACAGTATAGAGGAGGTGGGAGAGCAGCTGAAGGTCTACCATGAGCAGTACCAGGAGAAGAGCCGCGAGTACGACTCTCTGTACGAGGAATACACGCGCACTTCACAGGTATCAGTTCAACACATATGGACACAGAAACACACACACACACACACACATACGCAAGCACACAGTATTATGAATCATACTTGATGTAAACTGAAGTTACATTAACATGGATACATCTTAAATACACATACAGTTTATCCTGAAGATAAAAATGAAACAGTAATTATTCCATATGAGAAACCTGGTTGTAGCCAGAATAGAATATAAATAAACTGGAGCCATATGACAATGCATGTTAAACATTTTCTTATTAAAATAAGTTTAAAAAAATTCATGAAAAATATGAGTATAAAAGAGTGAATGTGTGCACGACACCAGATCACAAGGATACAATTTGTATGGAACCATGTACAATAAGAGAGCACATAAAAAACAGAATATATCTTGAATTTAATAAGAGAAAAACTCAAAATGTTGATGTATGCAGTATAAAGTATGACACAAATGAATGAAGTGCAGAGCTGTGTAGATAACATAAGCATGAAAAAGAGGTGATAAATGGGATTCAGCAGCCCCAGACTTAATGAAATATAAAATGGACAGTCACAGTTTGTCTCCCTGTCCCTTTATTCCACAGGAGCTGCAGATGAAGCGCACAGCTATTGAGGCCTTCAACGAGACCATTAAGATCTTTGAGGAGCAGTGTGAGACTCAGGAGCGCTACAGCAGAGAGTCATTGGAGCGTTTCCAACGCGAAGGCAATGAAAAGGAGATTCAAAAGTATGTTTGTGTTTGTGTGCATGGGATTCGATAATTCAGCTGCAAAACCAAGGCAGACAGATGCAACAAATAAATGCATTTTGTTTTAGTGAGCCGTAAACCTGAACCAAGCTGCTGAATTAGAGTCGTATTTTGTTTCTTTATTCAGCATTTGAAGAACACGTTCATAGAGATTATCATTCTCTCAAAATCAGGATCCAGAGCAACTCGGAGCGTTTGAAGTCTCGTGTGAAGGAGATCCACGACAGCAAGCGTAAACTGGAGCAGGACCTGAGACAGCAGGTGTCCGACAACAGAGAGATCGACAAGAAGATGAACAGCCTCAAGCCGGATCTCATGCAGCTCCGCAAGATCAGAGACCAGTATTTGATGTAAGAAGGAGAAATTAAACATTTACTCCATGCCTAAAATACATCCTCACACAAACTGTAACAAAAGTGTCAAAACTGTCAGTCAGCACTGAATCTGTGATGTTCTGGCTTTGCAGATGGCTGACACAGAAGGGGACAAGGCAGAAGAAGATCAATGAATGGCTGGGCATAAAGAATGACGCTGATGAGTAAGTGTTTGAAATGAGGCTCAGCAACTTGTTTTGTGATGTCGTATCTCCACCTGTAATTTTGAGAGTGGTTGGAGCTCAGTGTTTTGTTCACGGTGTGACACGTGCTTCAGTGTTTTCTGCATCATTTCTGCCTTTCCAGCTCCTACTCGCTGGAGGAAGACGAGGGCTCACCCCACCATGATGAGTGTACCTGGTATGTGGGTGACATCAAACGCACCCAGGCTGAGGAAATGCTGAGAGGCAAATGTGACGGAACCTTCCTCATCCGTGAGAGCCAGTCACAGAAGGGCTCCTACGCCTGTTCTGTAGTGTAAGTTTGTGTTTATGCTTTTTTAAACGGGACACAAATCCACTCAAAGAGAGATGTATTTTACATTTTGAAATATGGCAATCTATTTCTTTATTCGCATTGACAACTGCCCAAAAGTAGAAAATATGACTTTGACAGCATTTTAACTACTGCTGAACAATTAAATAAAATATATAATCGAACTCCCAATCTGACCAAGTGCAATATCCAAATTGCAGGAGCTGTAATCTTTTCGACAAAGGTAAAATGCGTCACGACATCGCTGTGCATTGTTAGCACCATAAGCAGTGACACCCCAGCCTACTGACCATATTCTCCAGACATAAAGGAACATGCTTGTTTGGTACAACAAAAATCACATCATCATTTTTATATTTTTTTGCAAAAACCATTCCAACTGAAATCACATATTACAATATCTGCCAAAATAATAGCAATATGATTTTTCTTGCATATCGTGCAACACTAATTTTAACCCTCTGAACACTGAAACAATAAATGCTGGAGGTTAGGTTTTCGTGGCAGTTCTTAAAGGAATAATTTGACATTTTGACAACTACACCTACTTGCTTTCTGGTGGAGCGCTAGATGAGAAGATGGATACCAGTCAATACTGTATGTCTATATGGTAAATGCAAGGCTACAGCCAAAAGCAGGGGAAGTAGCTGGCTCTGTCAGACAGTAAATTCACCTAGCAGCAACTGTTAAGCTCTCCAACATGTAATACCTTGTTTGTTTAATCTGTACAAATGCAGAAGTCCAAGAACAACAACTCACCGTTACACAGGAGGGTTGTGTGCAGGACTTTGTACCTTTGTACCACTAACTATATTTCCTCTAAAGCCGTCTCATTAAACAAGGATGCAGAAAAACATATTACATTATACGATACATTTTTATAATGGGGCACTACTCAAGTTTACATGATTACTAAAGTTCTTACATGAATTCTCTCACAGTTACTGTCACTAATTCACTTCCCAAACAAAGCCCAAATCACACCAAACCAAAAGTTCTCTCTCATTGGTGCTTTGAAAACACTGGGAAATGTAGGAAATTAAATAGTAGTAGATACATAAAATAAGTAATTTATATATTGACAACATTTTCCTTTTATGACAATAAAGAGCTTCTGTCCTTCTTTCCAGTGTGGAGGGTGACACCAAGCACTGTGTCATCTACAAGACGGTCACAGGTTATGGATTCGCTGAGCCCTACAATCTGTACTCGTCCCTCAAAGACCTGGTGCTCCACTACAAAAACGTCTCCTTGGTCCAACACAACGACCAGCTGAATGTAAATCTGGCCTACCCAGTCCTGGCCCGCTCTCAGAACCAGAACCAGAACCAGCACCCGAGATGAATTATCCGCCAGCAGTGTAGGACGCCAACCAGGGTGGGGAAACAAAATTTTCACTCAAACGCATCGGGGAAAAAGTAAATGTCCGAACAATGCTTGTTCATGTGTTTAAAGTGATGGGTAAGATAAACTCAACAGCCACAATTTAAAATTCATACTTTTTTTTGGCTGGAGGCTGGTGCTGATTTCCCACACTGACCCCAGTCCAGCAAAGAGCACTCCTTGCTAACAGCATGGCTTCAACATAAGCACACTGCTAGCACTAACTAAACACTGTACAGTTAGCGTGGCTGACACAGCGAGTTTTATCTTGAGGAGAAAGTCGCATCAGCCAGCCATGACTGTACAGTGTCAGTTATGACAAAAAGTGTGAGACATTTACAAGAAAATACCTTTGATACAGAGAAAAAAAAAAAAAACAGCCAAACTTGTTAAAGGAAGACAAAATAAGCACACAAAAAATATTGTTTTCAAGATTGTGAAGAGGAGAGACCAGATGGGATGATGGGAAATTTTACAGGGGGCACTTTTGCTTTTTTTTTTTTTTTTTTTTTTTATTATTGCCTTGAACACATGATGACTCTCCTTAGACAAAGGCCCGATCTGTCATCCCCAGACTGCCTGCAAACTCTCCGTAGACAAAAGCCTGAGCTGTCATCCACTAAAAGGACTGGCTTGGCTAAACCAGGCTGCTCGCTTCACACCTAAAGGCGGCTGAGAAACCATGGACCTGGGGGGTGTAGTCACTGGACCCTGAGGGGGAGGGGGTAGGGAGGGGGATTTCTGGGGTTGATGTTTTTAGGGGTTTTAAAAAGATCAATTCAATTTAAAGCTTGCTCAAGTGCCATAGTAATAGCTTTGAATGACCATAAGCCTGTGTCACTATAACAAGGGGGCACGTCGAGGTTGGAAGAAAGAAGAGAAGGAAGGAGGGAGTGAACAACATTGACTGTGCTACAGCTTTAAAAAAAAAAAAAAAAAATACACACATATAGGTATATTTTTTATGAAATGATCTTTATTTCCAACTGCTTTGGCTTGTTGCTCTCTCTCAGTGGGCCTCATTCTGAATTGACGAGGTACAACATCCAGTAAATACTGTATTACAGGATAGAAATGCATGGTACATATTTGGTACATTGTGAATACAGAAATACTTTTTAATCACAATACACTAGATGGAAAGGTACATTGATGAATGCAGTTCCACATGATCCAGGTTTCCTTCTAAATGGAAAGACTCCTGCATCAAACGTCTCTTTGTTTCAAACTTCTTCCTTCTTTTTTCATCCTCTTTAATACTGTAGCACCTGTAGCCATTGACTTAAGGCATAACTGTTAGTGCTCCTCTCATGTGTCTTGTTTCTATATGCTAAAGACACTCACAGAGCATCAATCTATGTGATTATTGTATCTTCGGTACTGTATTTGCTTTGTCTCTAGTTAGATTAGACTGATTTAGCAGTACAATGTCCTTGCAAATGTTTATTGTTGTTGTTTTGTTTTTTTTGTTGTTTTTTTTTTATGCAGATTTACTCACGGTATTTCCTTCCCCCTTGCGCTTGACTGTTCATTTCAACACAAGCTTGACTCACAGAGCTGTAAAACATTGATGTACAAAAAAAAAAAAAGAAAGCAGTAATATAACTCATGTACAGTATATTTCAGACACACATGCAGTCAGTGTATGTGACTTTATACAGTTTAATCGCTGTGTTTCTTTATGTTTTCAGAATATTTGCTATGCTCTTAGATTCTGTTTAAGGATGTACACAGTATCCAGCTAATGTGAGCCAAATGAAGGATGTCTTTTCATGTAGCAAGAAAGAGAAAAAAAGAACCAGTCCTTTTGCCATTTAGCATGGCCTCTGTGGTCAGAGAGATTATCTAGTACAGTATGCATGGAGTCCTTCTTTGGGTTGTGTTTTTTTTTTTTTTTTTTTTTACTTGGCACCAGTGGTTGATAATTGTGCTTTTTGTAGTGCATATACAGTATGGTGTGTGTTGATTATAGTAGTACTATGATATTGTAGTACTAAGCACAACATAGTGGGATGTTGATAGTAAGTTTTAGATTTACAGACAGTTCTCACATCAGTTCCCTCCTGTTGTTCTGTGCTGTGGCAGTAAATTTCTCTCATGTTCATTCGGCTTGAGGTGAAGATTGTACCACCTCTGTTCAAAGCACAGTTCACTTGTGTGAAGGCAGGGTTACTCAGTTATTACTGAGTGGTTAATGATAACAGGCGTCACATGATGTTACTTTTAAAATTGATATACATAGTTGAATTCTTGAGATAAAAATCTTTCAAATTTCTCACACATAGTAGACTCTGATTGCCAAAAAGAGAAAAAGTATTTTTGTGGAAAGGTAGAGAGGAGTCAAAATTCATTGGCAGTAGAAAGTTTTAGAAAAAATGCACTGCTTTTAAACGTTACACATTTGGCATTTTGGGTTTATTTTTTCCTTTTGTTGAGGAGGGATAGAAATTAAAGTTTTGTTCCTAATGAGATATTCACCTACTCTTGTCATGAAAGTCGATTATTACTTGATATTAAACTTCTTCATCTGTAGACAGATTCACAAACTTCAGGTAGCAATGTTTTTCAGACAACAGACCAATCCCATTTTCAACCTGAAAAGTTTAAATCAAGACATCTTTTTGATTTGAGTCAGGACGAATCAGTTGTACTGTACTTTGCACAATTCTTGGCAAATAGAAATCCCAGGAATTTAAACTAGAGGTGACAGCGGTGCTTTTGATTAGAGGGCTATAAAAACACGTGAGTGAGAAAGATTAGAAGTGCCTTTAGTCATTGTGATGAGCTTGTTTTCTCCTTGTTATCACTGGAGCGTTGCTCCACAAGATGGTGCCACCACCACCACATGCTGTGCCCTATGGTTCACACATTTGCCATTTGTCTAAAACTTAAGGGTATCTGGCAGATGAGCATGGTCGTCGTCGTGTGTGTGATTGTGTGTGATTGTGTGTGTGTGTGTATGTGTGTTTGTGTGTGTGTTAGAGCAAACCTGAGCATGTTATAGATAAGAGAGTGACGGATTTTAGTTGTGCCTCTTTGTCGTTACATCTGTAATTGTTACATATTCCTTCTTTCTATAGTGGGGGCTGTACAGTAGCTTGGTGCTCACGGTGCACCCAAGCTAGCTTTCTTTGGTGTTTTTTTTTTTTTTTTTTTTTTTATTTTGGCTGGTATATTTTTTAATAAAACTCAGATAAGATAGAAATGTGAACCGTACACATCCGTGGCCCAGCCCAGTTGTTTGAAGCTCATTTGATAAGCTCTCAAGTTATTGCATGCAACATTTCTCAGTATTTTGTATTAAGAGTCAGTTCCTTTGTCAACGGGCGTTCTGGTTGAGTCATCCGCCACTGCTGACACATCCATTATCCAGTTTGTTGGACCAACACTTTTGTGACTGCACTTTTTTTTCTGTTCCACACACTCAAAGTAGTGTGCCTAACGCCCAACAACCATAAACTAACAGACAGTGTGAAGCTCAGTTGTCAATAGTGTTTTTAGTTGATAGTTTTAAGGTCTTTCCATACCGTATATCAGGAGTGATTGACGTTTTTCTTTATGATATCGGAGTATACAGTGTACAGTATATGCTTTTGTTGTTTTGTGGTCAACAGCTGTCATGTAATTCTGATGCTTTTGACTGATTGCAATGTTTTTACTTTAACTATATGGACTGTAAAAACTCTCTAATATTTTAAACCAACTTTATGGAGAGCCTCTGGCTCATTATGCAATTTTGTGTCCACTCAGCAAACTTGTGCAACTTAACAAGACAAATAACATAAATTTTCTTAAATGGTCTGTTCATCTTAATAACAGAAACACATCTTTTCACTTAGTCTTAGTGGTGTGTGAACATGCAAATACTTTCAGTTTCATTAGATTTTGAGATTTTTTTTTTTTTTGCAGTTTCTTTCAGCTGAAGAAATCATCCTTGGAAAACTGTCCAGAGTAACTAAGACATTGCTCTTGACTATTTGAAATGTAGTTTTTGGGCTTTTGCCAGCAGAAAGAAAGTTCTGTTCACCTCCATTGTACTCTGTTGTACTATATGTGGTGGCAGAAAATCAACATCTCAAAACCTCAGCACAAGGAAGTGAAACTAAATTATGGCAAGATGCTACAAGGACTAAGTGAAAACTATGTTTTCTGGTGTTTTAGGGGGATTTGGTTAAATCAGCCATTAAAAATGTGTCTGGGAAAATCCTGCCAATGAAACAAGGTGGTTTCAGTTTATTCCACAACAGGTCCACTTGTTTCAGAGAAGTTCATGACCCAGGCAGATCTGCTTCAGATTTAAAAAAAAATTTTGTTCCTTAAAAAAGAAAAGAAAAGTATAACTGAATATCTTACTCCATCACTTGTTAAGATGAACATTTTTGCAGTGAACTTAAACACTTTCATCTGCCATATATGCCATGTTAATCACAGATGTTTAATAGCTAGAAGCAATGCAACTTCAGTAGCAATGAAACCTGGTCACTCAGTGCGACGGGCATGAAACGGGCAGAAGATGAAGATGTATTGAGCTTTGACTTAGAGGTGAGACTTCAGTCCCACTTCAGCTTTCATCCCGCTCATCTCTTAGATATGCATTTGTGTCGGAGCTTCTTGAAAAGCATTTTTCTATAAGACAAGTGATCATTCAAGGAATGAAATATTTTTTCATCAGCTTTGGTACACTGTAAATGATCTTTCTTGAAATGGCCTCATACACAAAGCACATCTTTCACTGACTACAAGGAACACATATATTTGGTGTCTATTAAGGTTTGAAGAATGAGAGACATAATAGAGAATAAATATTTTGAAATATATTCTTAGATATCTATATTTTTGGATTATGTAATTCTGATTTGGATTGTGCTTGAAACAAATCAGAAAGAGGCTTTGATGTGAACATGATCTTTAGACTTGCTCCACGGGTGCTTTGTATTCGAGCAGTTATTGAAACGCAAGCATTTTTACTAATCAGCTGCAGTGAGCTTCATCATGATCAGCAAGTTGATCGACATACATGTAATCTATTAAGCATGATTATCAGGTGCGTTCAGAGGATGAAGCAAGCTCATGTACATGTGTTAATATTTACAGAGCTAAGTCTATATGTTAAATGCAGTCTTGGCTGCTTTGCATTTATTAAATATTAGAGAAGAGTTTTTTGTTGTTGTTTTTTTTGTTTTTTATGAACATGAGAATCTGTTATGTCATATGGAAGATTCTGTTTTTTGTGAGTAGATGCAGTGTTAAAAGTTGCACCACAAAAGAGACACTTGGATGCTGCTACAGAGATCAACCACAGATTAGACGCTGATGCTGTAAAAGTGAACTGTAAAAGTTACCACTGTATCTTCCTCTGGTTGATCTCTGTGGTCGCTGAACGGGAAGTCAAAGTAAAACCTGTTAATCAAATAGAGAAAAGGTACATGATTCAACGGTTCATGATCACTCCTTTATACAGATCTTTGTACATGGAACAATGATGGCATTAGAAAGTGTTCTTTTATGGTGCCTGAGTATATTTTTTATTTTTTTTATTTGGCTTTTTAAAAAAGCTGATAGATTTGTCTGTCCAAGTGTTGGTTCTTTTTTTTGTTTGTTTGTTTATATCTGTTAATGATAACCTTACAGAGCCTATAAAGAAAAAAATAAGCTAGCTTGAATATTTTTCCTCCATACAGAAAAAAAATACAAATGTTTACAATATGTAATTAACCAAATGGTAAATATGCGTTTGAGAATCAATCTGTCTGTCCCTCAAAGTGGCTGTGATAGATTGATTTATATTTCTTTATTTCCTCTGTCATTTTAAACTTGAAAATGTTATGAATGCTTGTTCTGCTTTTTTTTTTCTGTTTTTCGGTTCGTTCCTCTTTTTTAATTTTTACTTGTGAGAACAGTGCTCCCTCAATTTCATAATAATAACTCAACAATTTAGTTCAACAAGATTTATTTGTCCATAACACATAGGTATTCATCAGTCTGTCAATCTATACCTGCTGACTACTTCACCTTACACTGAGCCTTGTATGTGCAGGACTGAATCCTAACTTGAGACGCTGTTGCATCTTTTGCTGTTTATATTATGTACAGTGTGATAGATTTGGCTCTGCCAGGTGTCTCTCTGGGAAGGTCTCAGTTCAAAGAATTTATAGTGGGTGACACCCACATGTTGTGAATAACAGTAAAAAAAACACGCCACTTGAACATGCTTGTGTACAATTTTTGTACATGACAAAAGTTGGAAATTCAGGAATAACTATCAAGAGGCACCCTGTTCTTGATTTTGCACTACACAGCAAATGATACTCAAATGAAAAGGTGAATCAATTGCTCTATTGGTTGGTTAACTCAATTGTAAGACCAAAAAGTATCCAATATAGTCTCAGCTTGTGTGTGTGATTTCCATTTAAAATAAGATGACGTTAGCAACTGCACTTTCATTTCTCCTTTTTCTGCCTGTATCCAACCAATGAAAGTTTGCCTTGTGTTTGATTCAATCTGACGTGAATGTTGTAGTATTTTTCACTGGTGTACAGTAGTTCATATTCAAGACCCAACTCTGAACGGTAGAAGTTTGGCAGTGATCCATTTGGCAACGGCCTCTGAGAAGTTACAGAGCAGCAACAATTTTAACCTTACAACACCAGTCGCTTTTTTTATTGTTGCTCAACAAGTTGCCCAGTGTATCACTGCCTCAGCAGCAGCAACAGATATATGGTTCTTAGTTAATAATGATGTGATGTTCTCTTTCTTTCAAAAACGGTGAATGGTAACGAAGAGGGCAGTCCGATAAAGCTACTCTACACCAAAGTGCAATTGAACTCAGAGGGAGCACTGTTGTTTCAGCCAGCTGAGGCCTACTGGTTGTTGTGTGCCCAACCCCTATGCACGAAAAGATGGTTATTCTTCTTCTCTTGTGTTATCCTCCCTCCGTTGGTCTGTCTTAATTCAGATGCGACATTTCTTTCTTTCTCTCTCGTGTACAGCTTGCTTCAGAGATGTGTTTGTCCTCAGACAGGTACTCTTTCATCTGTACGGTTCTTTCTTTAGGCTGATGCAATGATTCTAAAAGACAATAAAAGATATATAAAACAAAGTGTCCTTCCTTGTACTTGCTCTAATCTGTCATTGCCTCGCCACAGTTCCTCATATATTCATGTCCCAGTTATACTCTAGCCGACTTTACTGGGCTTTAACATGATGACATGATTCATTTGTAGCACTCACTGAAAGATGTTATGTCATTTTAGGGGCAAAAAGTAAAATGTATTATATAAAACTTAAAAATGTGAATGTGATTGTGTCATCAATTATGTATTGGTGGCTCTCAAAATAGAAACTATTTATTCTACTATGAGATTTAAACATAAACATAGCAGAAATGTTCCGTTGGCCTTGTTCACTTTAGGGAAAGGTTCATCAAAATTGAAGGTTACCTGAGGAGTGTTGACCATTAGCATCACCACTATGGAACAGTGTTTTTAGGAGTGGGTCCCCATTTTGTTTGTATTGCGCATGTTCACAGTAATGCACATGTGCACACACACTCATAATACACCAAACATGGGTAGGGATGAAACAAGAAACGGTAGTGAAGAAGAAAACTAGCTAGCAATCAAAAATGCAGGGTTTAAAAAATCTAAAATTCAAAGTTTATTGAGGAAGGGAATACACTCAACATGTTTGCTAGGCCTAAAGGACACACACAATGTATTAAATATAAATATAACTTTTATTTGCTTATCTGTAGGAAAGAAGTTTTGTCTCACCTTTATCTGTGAACAAAGTTGTGTTTCCATAGGAAGTGAGTAGTAAGCATTTCCAAGCACAACATTAGTGTAGTCAGTGGTGAGGAGTAACCGGAAATTGTTTTTGTTTTTTTTCTGGAAAGAAACAACGCTGCTTCCTCTTTTAAAAGATAATTTGTGAATGCTTAGAGAAGCACAAATGAAATACCAGACAGTTCCACTATGTTAGAGTTGGACATAAACCTGATATGGATATCTCAAAACTTTGGCAAATAAAACAACTTCCTGGGTAGCTTGATACTTCTAGAATGAAGTGAGAAATGTGTGTTTTTGTGATTGAGTGGACCGATACCTTCTTTTGCAGTGTGACACACATTACACATTTCACACACTGTAGGTAAATACAGCAAAGGCACACAAAAGTGAAAGCTGCACCGATGAAATTAGTGAATTTTAGTTTTATCTGTTACACTCTGAGTCAACACTCAGAGAAGCAGACAGGAAGCAGAGTGAATCATGCAGTCATGTTATGTCTTGTCTGTTTTTTTTGTCACTCTGTCCTTGTTTTTTTGGGGAAAGCTGGGAGAGATCATCTGACAGTCACCAGGTAAAACATTTCATAATGTTCAAGGGTTTGAGCTGTTTTGCTGCAGTTTGTGTTTCTTATGATTGCTCTTGAGCAAGACCTTTGCACTGAGGAACTGAGCTGAGACATGCAATGGCTTTATAATTAGCCAGATGATGCAGAAGTCATGCAAAGAAGACTATCCCACAAAACAAGCTGAGTGAACTGATCATAAGACTGTTATTCCTCCTGGTGATATTTCCAAGTTCTTGATTCTTCTTTATCTGTGCAAGACCAGTTTGTAGAAGGGACCTTTTTTTTTAACCCCACCCCCAGGTGTAATTCACCAAACCCAATTAAACCTCCTTGGTATTTGCAGAATCCATGATATGTAGTGCATTGCATGTTATACGGAGAAATTTAAATAATACAATGAACAGTTCATGCTTTTAATTTTTCATGTTTCATTCGTGTGGGAACTTGTGTGACCACGTGACATTTAAAACTAATTTCTGTGGAATCACACTTCCTCAAAACAGCACCTGCCAGGTCTGTCTGCGGAGATCTCTGCTAGTTACAAGTGACGTTATCTTGATCATATGATCGAGAGCCAATCAAAAAACCAGGCAGCCTCCACAAGGAAGCATCGGGGCTGTATTTAAAGTTGCTCGGGACAGTGGTTTTTAGGTCAGTGTTGTGTTATTGTGGACTTTGTTTAAAAGTGTCAAACTAAAGCCCTAAGCTGCAGCTGAAGATGAAAGCCCCTCTGCTGCTGATTATGACTGTTTGGTTAAACACTCAGTACGGCGGCAGCTTTGTCTCCTCTTCATGCTCCCATCCTCCATCACAGTGGTGCTCATCTCTGGACACAGCTATCCAGTGCGGGGTAAGTTATGTTCACGTATTAGGAAAGCTTTTAAGACATTATCTAATTGTACGTACGTTTTTGAATGGCTGGCGTCCGTTAAAATCCCAGGACACATCACTCCGTGTAGTTCCGGGAAACAGTTCAACCACCGTTCAAAATCATTGTGCTGGATAGAACTACAGGAAACCATAGCAACAATATTGACAATGAGATACGTCACCGTAACTTAGTTATCTTAGCTCGCTAACTCACCGGTGAAACTTACTGCAAACTTTGAATGACCCTGGAAACACAGCTTCTCATTGAACATATAGCCACTGTACAAAATAATACACTTAGAGGTGTCCGGTTACACAAAGTAAAGATGTCGGTGGATGAATTTTCCTTGTGTAGTTTTTCCCGGTTAGTTTCACAGAGAACTGATACCCAAATTAAGTTGTCAGTCGACTGTATTCTGCTTCAGGTTGTATTTTTGTCAGCTAGCTAGACTCACTGAGGAAGTGAGCAGCAGCGTATTTTTTTCAAGTTAAGACTACATGGTGGGCTAAAGAAAAAATAAGCGAAAGAGGAAGTAATACAGTATACACTTCATACAGGACTTAACCTCTAGTCTTTCTTTACCTCAGTGTGTGGCTGCTAACAGAGACACTCCAGTAAACACAGATAGTGCCACGTATAATTAAAGAAATGTACGGAGTCAAAGTTACTAAAACTTAAAGCACATCTAGTCCAAGTCACATCTAATAGGAAACAAATATAAATAAAATAAAGTTGTGGGCATACTCATTTGCTCTGTAAATTTTGAACAGCTGATTTTACTGTGACACTCATTTAGACTGATAAATATATTAAAAAAATGGTACCACTTACCCTGAGCTCTCCTAGTACTGCGTCCAAATGGAAAATGGCCTGACCCTGCATACACACACACACACACACACACACACACACACACACACACACACACACACACACACACACACACACTGTTCTAGGTCACCTTTGGATACATTATAGACTTGCATTCATTTCCTGGAAACTTACCCTGACCCATAACGACTAATTGCCTAGCCCCTCCAACACTAATCTGAATCTAACCCTAACTCTGAAACCAAGTCTTAACCCTCAGACATTCCTTTAAACTTCTAGCAGTTTGGTCCCCATGAAGCTCCATGCACCCCAAAAGTATACTGGGAGTACAAATATAGTAAATCAAAATGCACACATCCTTGTTTGTTGGGACTTGTCATTGACATAATGTATTCCCTAACCCCTTACCCTAACCATGACCATCACAACTGAATTCCTAACCCTAACCTAGACTCAATTCTAACCTGAACCATAAAACCAAGTTTTAACCCTTAAACAACCATTTAAACTTGTGGGGTCCAGCAGTTTGGTCCCCACAAAGCTGTCTGACTTCAAAAGTATAGTGGGCTCCCGGTTTTCGGCCCCACAAATGTAGTAAAACAAACCCCGGAGCACAGAGAGTGATTAAACAAAAAATAACCTCTCCACTTTTGCCCCCTTGTGCAGGTTTTGAAGCATTGCCTTGAGTCTAACTTCACCAGGTCCCATCAGACAGCAGATCCAATCCAGGTGGGGCTTTACTATGAGAGTCTATGCCCTGGCTGCAGAATTTTTCTCACTGAGATGCTCTTCCCCACCTGGGTCTTGCTGCATGACATCATGACTGTTACTCTGGTGCCCTACGGAAATGCTGTGGTAAGCAGTGAACCAAGCACATTGGTAAATATGGGGTGGCTAATGTCTTAAAAAGATATGCGATGTTGGTTTTACTACAAAAAGAGGCACATGCAGGAGAAGTAAAATTGATACAAGAAAAAAAGCCTATATCAAACCATATGTGGTCACAAAATAAGCAAATAGATGGTTATTCAAGAGGCAATTTAGCTTTAGTGGCAAGAAAGGGGTAAGTGAAGTGAAGTGTGAAGTGCATCATAATCTTGGTCAAGAAATGTGTTTGTTACTAATTTATGAATCTATTGCATTTTCCCCACCGCCCAACCCCAACAGGAGAAACCTGATGGACAGAAATATGTTTTCGATTGCCAGCATGGAGAACAGGAATGTCTGGGTAACATGATTGAGGTAAAGTTATACAACTAATGCACAGAGAGAAAACTGCTGAATAATACTGTAACTACTATTTGAAACATGTTATCTGCCTTGGTTTGTTAAAAGAAATACTATGCAGAAAATACTGTGTGGATCCATGTAAACCTGAGTGTTGTGAAAGCATTATAATTCCTCAGAGAAACACTCCATACTCAAAGTAACTTTAATATTTTTATTCTCCTTTTATATGTATACATACATATATGTGTGTTTCTGTCCTATTCCTTTCAGACTTGTCTACTAAACATGACATCTATTGCTTTCCCGGTCATCTTCTGTATGGAATCCTCAAGTGATGTCATCAAGTCAGCCAAAAGCGTAAGGAAGTCAGAGCGAGTGTGTGTGTGTGCATGCGTGTGTGCTCATCTGCCCAGTCATTTGGCTGGTGTCTGTTTGTCTGCCTCCTTCTTTGCACCATCTCTTCGGTCACTGTCACTTCCCCAATATATTATTTTAAAAGGGTCAACCCCTGCGAAGCTCGTCACTTATACCTCTACACATAAATCCTCTTTTTAATATATGTATATAGTGTTATATTTTATTTATATCTCATTCCATCTCTATTTAATTTTATCTTATATTCTCTATTTTATATGACAAGTGCTCTTTTTAGCTGAGCTGACCTGTTTTCTTGTTCAACGCATTTCATTGTAGTCATCAGTACAATGAAATGCATTGCTTGTGTTAACCTACATATGAATAAAACTGAACTGAAGTTATTTCACCGCTGAAATTCATGTGTGTGTATTTCCATTGTTGTTTATAGTGTTTGGAACTCTACAATCCCGGGTTGAGCTGGGACAAAATCATGGGCTGTGTGAAAGGGGATCTGGGAAACCAGCTGATGCATCTGAATGCCATGAAGACCAAAGCGCTGAATCCACCACACAATTATGTGCCTTGGGTGACCATTAATGGGGTAAGGCTCCAGTGCATTTAGCAGCTCCTGTGGTATTCTGCAGAAAAACCATAACTACGAGGCAGCTAGACACTATCAATTTACAGATCTAAAGAGACGACATCAACCTGACTTGGAGATCGAATACATGCTAGTCAAGACTTGTGAAATTTCCATTTTTCCATCCTGACTCGTTTTGAAGCCACTCTCTCTGCAGTGATTTTTAATCAAGTGATGTTACATTTACAGTGACGATATGATGTTGTGATCATTTTGACACTTGATCTGCCCCAAAGTTTCAATCTATAAGTGAAAGAGAGCTGCAACTGGTGCATGAAGCTACAGCTTGATGCGACTCCAAAGCTTAGCACAACAGATGCCGCTGTCTCTCTGCCAAGCAGCCTGAGACCAAATGCACAATAATGACTTGAAACTGCAGTTCACTCTAAATCAATTCCATAAGAATAGAAGAGGGGAAAAAAATTAATCCTGTCTACATGAAGCATCAGGCAACAGAGAGGAGCTGGACACTGCTCAAGTTTTATATCCAACTGGCTTTGTCAAACAAAGCCTGAACTGAAAAATTAAAAGCAATTTTAAAGTTTATAAATTACTGGGATAAGAGAATATTTGTGTTTCTGAGTTTCTACCTCTGTATGTACAGTGATCGGGGTGTACAGGGTCAAATAACATTACACTTAACTCACTTGATTTGAGGACAAATGGAAACATTTTACCATTTTTGAATTGGGATTTTTGCCATTTAGCCCCCAATTGTATTTTATTTCTTTTATGAAAATATTCCAAATTTGCTTACAAATCTGAATGAAGGGAAATACAATCTTGGACTGTGGGAAAATCACATGCAGCAGTCTTGGCACCAAAGGGTGCTCTTGATTGTAAGTGGCCTGAGATTTCTTGGCCATTACATCATCATCCAGAAAATCCTTCATATCTTAAGACTCCCGTGAAATATCTGTCCCTATCAAGACTGTATCTGCTACAAGACGCTGTCATGAAATCATACATGTAACTTAAGTGTGAAGCTCAGAGTTTGCTTTTTCACAGAGGTGATGTTCAATATTCTAAGCAATAGTCTCGTCATGTTAAGCAACAATCCTATTGTGTTCACTTGGCCCTGTTGGGAAGCTTTTACTGCAGCCACCGTTCCTCTTTGCCTTTGCGGTGACTGTGTTTGGGTGTTCCTTTCCTACCATAATAAATAACATGCAGTTGTTGTGACCAAGTACACCAGCAAGTTAGTTGCTAACAATTTGACCTCTTTTAAATGTTGTCTGATAGACAGTTAGTGCTATTTTTTAATCTTCATAGTGAAGTTAGTGATTGTGAGAGCTTTAACAGAAAAATGACATACTACATTTATTTTAACCACCGTCCTTGCAGCTCTGTCTTAATTTTTTCAATGACCACCTTTTTTATGCCGGTCTTTGGGAAACCAATCTTTATTTATTTGCAGGAGCACACAGACGATTTGCAGGACAAAGCCATGGCTTCTCTCTTCACTCTCGTCTGCAACATGTACAAGGTACAGTTAATCTCATTCATTGACTCTGTATGCTGAACTTTTGCCTTCTTAATACAATTTTACCGTGTATATTTTTAAATCGCAAGCAGTTCATAATTTTTAATTCGCTTAGACTTGAACTTTGAACTTTGACCTCTAACAAACTCTTTTTTCAGGGCACCAAGCCTGCAGCCTGCGGAGGGGGCCAGAGACACTTCAAAAGCTACTGCCACAATGAGTGAAGGAGCAGCACTACACTTGCCTTTATACTTGCTCTGCTCCAGGTGTGGCCACTAAATAAGCAACACTGAGGAATGTCATCAAATATATATTTTTTAATCTTTGATTTTACAATCTGTTTCTATAAAGGGAATAATTGATCACCTCACTTTATAATTCAAAGCATATAAATACAGTTGACTTTTTAAAAAAAGAAGTGTCATTACTGAAATGTTTTCTACTGAAACCATGAAACCATAAATGCTTTTTGTAGCATTTTGTCTCATTGAAAAGTTTTCTGGTATTTGCACTTTCTGAAATGCAGTGTTCTCACTGTCCTTCAGATGGCGCCATGTTTCATAAACTCATCTTCAGTCCCCTGTTACCTGAGGTAATAAAAGAAATAAACAGTTACATGTATATGGCGTTTAGATAAAGAACTTGTCATACTACACTCACTTTATTTACCAGATTCCTTAAATATGAGCTCAGCATTGTCTGCCAGATTGTGCATGGAAAGTTTTAACACAACTGATATAACATTCAATTACATCTTATTCAAAAATAAAACTGCAAAATACACTTAATTATACATTATACACGTTATTAAGCGAATCAGAGAACATAACTAAAGCTGTTAAAAACACATAAGTGATTCATGAGTCACAACTGACGTTATACTTAATGTTTTATATTTGGTTTTTAAACCCGGGTTCATGTGGGTGTGCGGCGGAAGAGGCAGGGTCATTAAAGTTCACAAAGTCTCCTGGGAATCACACTGAATGTTTAACACGCACTCACATCCTTTTACAAATAGTAAATCTATCCGAAGTTGTGTTAATGTTGTAAAAAAAAAAACAACAACCATTAAATAGAATGGTTATAGGCAGCAGCTTGATCAAAGCCAGAGTCTGTCTGGCCTAACCAGAAGGGCTGGATGCATGAGGTCCACTGATTCTACAGGCAGATAGATACACATGAATAATGGCCTGTCATGCAAGCAGCTCCACTGCCTCAATCTCACTACCAGCTAACATCTTCAGGCTCCATATACTTTCGCATAATTCTCAATAGACTAAATATCGCCATTTAAAAAAGTATATACGTATATTCGTTGCATTTGGGTCTAATGAGCTTACAGTTTAAAAAAGGCCACAGCTGAAGTTTAAAATGCAAACTCACAAGTGTGCTTAGAAAGTTAGCTGTTGATCACTGAAATAAAGACAGCTGAGGGTTTCTGAAGAGGCGGGGAAATACTTTTTTGCTGAGTGACAGCCCAAGGAAGTATTAGTGCCACAGACTACTTCATATCTGATCTTAAATGGGGTTCCTGTATCCTCCTCTGGTATTTCCTTCCCAGTTGTTTTGTTCCCATGATACAGTAACTGAAAATATGAGGAGAAATAACTCATCAAAATTTTTCAACTTCACCGAGGTAAGAGTCATTAATGAACCTTTAAGAAATACTAAAAAGAAAAATGTAGATTACAATAGTCAATTCTGCTTGTGGCTTATGGATCAAATTTATTATTATTTATGTTCTTTTCAGAACTCAAACAAAAAAAAGAAAGTTAGCTGGTTTAACTTTAGCTATAATACCAAGATGAGAGGTTTCTTGTGTGACTGATCTCTTGTACATCAGGAGTATGTAATTACACTTTGATGTCTTGTTCTATGTATTTTACCATTGCCTGACAGCTGTGCAGAAGAGCAATGGAGCCTTGAGTGTTAAAATAAGCCCCATCTAATTGCAAGTTCCGATTGTTAGCAATAAAATAATTTGTCCATTATGTTTATAAGTTTGAACAAATGAGGTTTGGCAGATATCGAACGACCATTTGACAAGAGGAAGTCAGTGTTTTATCATGAGTGAAGTTTGCACTGTTCCCTGTGTTTTGGTCACCTAAGTCAAAGAAATGGTCAACAATAAAACCGGAGTGTGTGTGTTGACAATTGCTTATGGAAAGGTGGAACTCCCAAACAGATGGAGAGATAAGGTCACGGGATAGCGGCAGAAAACAAGGACTCTTATCTGTTTCCCCTCAACACTGACGCTGAAAGAGAGATGCCCTAAGAGCTAAATCCCAAACACTGTCTCACTGTGAGAACCATCTGTTGTGTCCAAGGTGATAGTGCGTGGGTCTCAGGACCTGAAATCAGATAAACCTTTCAAAGATAATGCCTGAGTGGGGCTCGTCACATTTTCGGCAAAAGCACAAAAACAGCCCTGTCTGCAACTTACCTTTAGATCTCAGCAATTTTTTTTTTTTTTTCACAATGTCTCTTCAAGAGGTTCAGAAAAGGCCAAGCTTGACCTTAGTTAATGGAATATGCCAGTGAAACCTAAGACAAACACACACTGGTAGCTTTCCTTGGCTTTTCCTGCAATTTAGTTTTGTGATGAAGCAGATAAAGTATCTCAGCTGCACACTCGGGGATCTAGTGCTGGGTTATATGGAATCAGGTTAAGCTACAGTGTAGTATTTCATTTCATCTTCACTGAGCTGTAAATTGTTGTGACGTAGAGCAATTAGTGTCAGTAACAACAGTTCAGGTTCAAAAGTATTTGTGTTTCATCTGCATTGCCATGAAAAGGACATTGTGCTGACGCTTGATATAGTCGATGCAAAGCATATGGAAAGAAAGTCGGGTGGTGGAGACTGACCTCTGTCAACCTTTCCTAAACATGTTGCATTTATAATGAATGAGTGAAGAAAGTTTGCTCACCCAGCTTTGCCATAAGAGATCATGGTCTGTAAGTTACTGTCTGTGGAGCATCTAAATTTCACATCTCTTCATGCCATCACAGTCTCCTCATTCTCTAGTTTCACAATTAGAAGCATCTGATCTAATAATGTAATCAAATTGACCACATGAAATGACTGCTGTTTCCTTTCATTTCTCATCTCTGTTCTGTCATATCCTGGTCTTTGTTTCTTCTGCCATCCAGAGACAGTGGGACTCCTCAGAGCAGGCCTCCTCCGCTGAGTGTCTGCAGGACCCCGATTTCAAATGTGCTGTGAAGAGGCTCTTCTCAGGCACCCTGCAGCTGCCCAGGCTGTCCTGCAGACCCTCCATGCAGGACAGACCAGAGGATGGCCCCGGGTCCGGGTCCGGCCCCTTGGCCCACAGCATCAAACACTCCAGGAGCCTGGGGACACTGACCAGCTACATATGTAAAGGCCTGTGAGTCAATCATTCTATGTGTTGTCAGTGTCCTGCCGCAGATGCATTGGATCTTTTTGGTGATACGCCTCTCTATAATGTTCATGTTCATTCGCACCAAAACTTTGGAGTAAATAAATCTACATAATTTAATCTACTGGGGCTCTCTTCCAACTTTAAAGGAGTGTATGGGTCTACTTAGCTTAAAGAGCCATTTTTAAGTGTTTATTATTATTTTTATACTTGAAACTTCAAACCTGTGTGGAGCATGTGTGAAAATGAGTTAGTTTTTCTAGCTGGACGCGTTTTCAAGATTAATGATTAGAATTATATGTCATCAATCGATAACCAGCATGATGGAGTTTAAGGTAACTTTGCAGCGCCTTCTTCCAATTCCGTTTCCTGTAAAGAATTCAGCAGAGCTTGACGATTTTTTTTTTTAGTGCCTAAGTGCTTAATTTAGGTAGAAAAAGCTGATTTGCTTCTTGAGCATATGATCCAAAGTGTCCCGCTTAAGGCGTCGCTCTCCCCTCTGTCACACTGCTGAACAATTATCACTATAAAAGATCAAACAAACAAGGCTCTTATGATTGTTTCCACAACGACATTCAAGCTGCAGATGTAAATACATTTTTTTCCTCTCTACACTGTGTGTGTGCGTGTGTGTGTGTGTGTGGGTGTGTGTGTGTGTGTGGGTGTACTGCACTTTTGTTTTCTATTTTTACATGTTGGGGGAATGCACACAGACGTGTTTGAATTCATAAGTCGTTGTAGTGCATGTCAGAGGTGATCAGATATGGCTTTACTTTGGACAAAGACACAGTTGTATCATAGATATTTTTCTCTTTTACAGCAAACAAACCTTCATCATTGGTATTTATCTGTGCGACTGACGAAAGCAGTACACATACTACACGGTTAAGTGAGTCGCTCGCCAGTATTAGTCTGTATGAGTGGACATGTGCCCTGGGATGTCCTAAGATATAACCTGATGAAAAGTATATACAATGAATTGCAATGAAATCTATTGGTGCACTGTGACTTCACAGACCATGAAAAGGGCTAGTCAAAAATTCAATACTATTGTTTACCACCTCTTATATAAAAATGACGTTCTAGTCTAGGATTTTGTAAAGTTCCAAATTACCAATTGATTCAAATTGATAAACACTCCTTTAAGTTTAACTTTATTTGAGGGCGGGACAAGCAGTGTGTTTGTCTGGCACCAAATAACAAAAATGGACATTTATAGTGGCAGAGTCCAGAATTATTTTACTCAGATGATAGCTCCAAACAGAAATATAAACATTGCACATGTATTCATATTAATAGACTATTATTTCAAAACCAATTTTTACCGGTAGCACAAGAAATAGTGTCGTTCAATGGTTTTCAGTGACAACCCATTTGTTAACATGAGTCATGTGTCACTAACTATGGCTTTGCCTTCATACTCATATTTAGGCACAGTAAACTGTCTAAGACAAGTGAACTCCCATTCTGTACAATAGAACACAGTTTTTACAGAGTACATTAGGCAGCTTGACATAATTTGTCAAAATGTGAAGGCGAACACACTGGTGTGCAGATTCATCACATTTAATATGCCATGGTCAAAACTCTACAGATGAGGCACTGGAAAATAGGTTCATACATTGTGATGATTAGGCTATATTTATTCCATAAATGTTTATATACCAGCAGGTATAAAGCAACACTGCCACAGACATGACTCCTATGATAATGATGGACCTAAAAGCCTTTCATTGTGTTCCTTGTCTGGGGAGAGGGCCATGTGCTCGCCTGTTTACAAGTTGGTAGTGCAATTTTGATGCAGCGCCAGAGAAGTTGTTTATGGAGTAGCATTCGAAGCCACAGGTTGTTTAAACCTGACAATGCCACACGTGTTAGGGAAATCTAATCAGAATTGAACTGAATTATTTTATTGTGATGTCACTAATTTGATGTCATTATATATCTATCAAAGTTAACATTAAACTCGCGGTAACTACATCTAAAATAGTCACGATGTTGTGTTCTGTGGAGGCTTGTTTCTGAAAGCTGACCGCAGACAGTCATGTAGCCAGAACAGGCAGCGTCTACAATAAGCCATGTTCTTATAGATGAAAATAAGGTTAAGAAGTCCTTTCTGGCCTCGGCAGGATAAACACTTTGTTACCCCCTCTCCTGGAACAGCTTTTAGTGTGTGGTGGCTTTGGTCAGGATACAGGTGCTTGAACTCCCTGATGAGGTCCCCATCCAGAACATCTAACACAGGCACTGAAGAATTAACCTCTGGCCCATAACGCTCCTAGATCACAATAAAATTGGCACAGTTACGCACATGATGAGAGTCAGACACAGGAAACGGTGTAAATTATGATTATTTGAAGAGGAGATAGTGCAGGAGCGGCTGGAGAACAAGTGTTTCATTTGGAAAAAATGTGAGCTAAAGCACAGGATGGACAAGTGTAGATGAGGGCAGATGCAGGGGAAACAAGGTCTTTCTGATCACACTGCTCATGAAGTAGCACTCTTGTGACTTTCCACTTGAAAAGGAAGATTTCCAAAAGGCAAACCATCCTCAGCCCGGATCAAAGCTTGTCCCCAGTTGTGGCTTGAACATCACCTGAAATTATGACATCATTACTGGAGGAAAAATATTGTGAGAATAATCTGCCCACACCACTTGGGAACACAGTGTAAACAGGTTGTTTCTTCTCAGTTGTTTCCACAGTGGCCCAATGGACAAAGCGTTAGGATGCTGTCTACATGACTAGCTTTGTGCGGCGTGGAATATGTTGTAGCATACAAACGGATGCCGTCTCACATTGCTGAACTATGACAACTACCTTTTAATGAACTTGATCAACCCCACTCCAGGACCTGCGGGAGTGCCGCCACAGGAATGTACACTCTGTTCTGGCCTCGCTGAATCCAACGGAGAACTGGGCAGCCCTCACCTCTGCCTTTGTCATCCACATGACTGAAATGATGATGTGCTTCAGGGCCAGGATTTGTTTGGGCTCAGGATCATCCTCTGATGTGTTGAGCTGGGGGAAGAGAGAAGAGCATCTTTACTGCTGGGCATTAGAACAAGGCAGAAGTGGTTAGGAAACAATGCAGACTTCGTCTGGCAGAAGGTTAACTGCTTCATACTCAGGATATATGACAGTGGTACAAACATGTCCAAAAAAGGACTCACATGTAAGAAATGTAATTTTAGAAAACCAATGAAAAATGGTAAGATTTATCTTCTGCGAATGAAAGATCTGAGCAAAGAACAGGAGATTAAAGCAGTATGTTTTGGCCACTTGGGGGCAGCGGAACAAGCTGTAAACATCATGTTGACATATCATCACCTTTGTTATAACAGACAGTTGTTTATTTACATATTAAGCAGACATGGAACAATATTAGCATTTGTTTTTCTGTCGACTGTTCACCTTCCTTTTAGCTCTGTTGCATTCTCCACCAGCTCCTCAGAAAATATTATATGATGCTAAATGCTCCACCAAGTTCACCAAGTTCAGCACCTAGTTGCTATCTTTGTCTGCTGTTTGGCGCCGGGCAGGTTGCATTCACAGCGTCCATTTATATTTTTTATATTGTGGAAAACTGGATTGATGAGAGACGTGAGACTGAACAAAAACATTAAAGCTGCCGGCCATAAAACCAAAACACTGAGCTGATAGACGCTAAAAGTCTCTGTAATTCTGGTCATTTCTGGTCCGGTGATGATTCTCTGTAGGTTCATCATTATGCGTGGCCCCTTTCATATTACACATAGTATTAACATAAAACACTGATAAGGTGCAGGACATCATATCCGCGGTTACAGACTAATTTTTTTTATAAACAGGTTACATAAACAATCTTGACAAGCAGTTGACCTCATTATGACTAGTTTACATCCACAGTGTTTGTGTTTCATTTGGATGAGAACAATTTTGTCTATCTACTAGTACAGTACTGCTGCACCAGAATACATACGGTACAGTAGCTATGAGTATATACCCGTAAAAAGCCTTTAACCAAAGAATCGTTCTTCCCTGCTCTCCCTACCAGCTGTTGGTCATAGGTTCAGTCCTGTGTCAGATGTTCCAGCTCCCCAGGTTATTTCAGTTACGCTAGACAGCACCGGTGTTTAGCTGTGAGTCCTTAATCACAGGAGGACCTTTTCTCACTCTGCAGCGATAAACAAAAAGATTGGGTGGGGGTGAAGATGATGTTGCCTCTGGTCACAGATAGAGAGCGCCATCGTGACAGCACCCATGCTCTCTATAGCTTTTATCTACCTCTGCTTTTTATAGTCAGAGGCTCTTCATGTGACTTCTCCTGGTACGCTCAGAGCATGTGAAAGGCAAAGAGGCTGCCTTTGAGGAAATAGGCAACTTCACAACAAATGGCACCTCGGGGACCAGGGGAAAAGCCTGAGTATGCAAAGTCAGTTGGAGTGAGAGTAAGAGAGGCGAGCTAGAGGGCCGAGCCAGGCGACAGCTTAATGTTTATACAGTGGAGGAACTTAGAGAGGAAGTAATTATGGAGCACAGTTTGAAGTTGATGAACAATATGCTCCGTAAGATTAGGAGTGAAGGAAGAGGGGAGGCAGAGTATTGGAAAGAGAGAGAAGCAGAAGGGGGCGATCCGTCATGTGTCTCCTCCCTGTATATCAGACATCCATATTTAGTTGGAGAGAGGGAAGGCCTAGGAGTAATGTAAACAAAGCCCGGGAGAGGGAGGGAGGCAGGGAGAGTACATCAACACTAATGTTTGAGACTATTGCCCCGCACGACAGTCAGCATGGTCTTTTGGAAGAGACAAGAGAAGGACTGGTTAGGTTTCAAATAAAGATGTTAAAAGTCTCTTAGAGAGGTCATTCTGTTAACTTTTTGAAGAGGTTTTGTTTTGGGTTTTTTTGGGGGGATTTTTAAAGCAGCTTATTTGAGAGTTTTAACAAGAGAGTTTTGGAGAAGACAAGAGCAGGTCCAGGTTTTGTTCAAATGTGAGGAAGTGAGGACTGGACCCGAGGCACTAGCTTCACCTGGATTTGGCAAATCAAGACGGATCACTAACATACGCCCTGTCACAAAAACATCACGTAAAAGTTTATTTGAGAATCCAAAGAGTTCAGAGACAATTTCTTGGACCAAAATTACTAAAGACAGAGTGAGCAAAAGGAACTAATATCCTGATCCCTGACCGTCCTCTGTTCAGTATGAGTGACCTGTGCACTGAGAGCTCTGAGGAAGAGCAGTCTGATGTTGAGGACAGGCCGCAGGAACAAACGGTGACCAGGCTGCCAATCATTCAGCTCATGCCCAGGTCCAAAGCAGGCTCACCGGGAGGATCCCCAAAGAGCTCGCCCAAGGATTCCCCTCGCGGGTCTCCTCGTAACTCCCCGCTGCTCTTCAGAAAGCTACTGATGAACCGCAGCATCAACCTCCAGAGGCGCCGCTTCACTCTCGCCCACACGCCCAGGTAGAGTCTGTAACTCTGAGGCGATGATGACAAAGATGACAATGCTGTTTCACTGAATAAGCCATGTGTAGCTTTACCCTGTTTCATTTCAATTTGACAATACAGGTCATTTCCACTCGCGTCTGCACCTGTCCCGGGCTGCTCGGGTGAATATTTCATTTACAGCTAACAATGGTAAAAGATGAGCCAGAAATCCTCCCCAATATACTGACTTAAATTCATATACCAAACTTCCAAATACACACATATTTATTAACGCGCTCTCATTTAAGATGTGGGAGAAATGCTCAGTAGTATTTTGTCAGAACTTCTGATAATTGTTTCAGTGGATCTGTTTGTGTTGTTGAAGTAGGAGCTGGTTCTTGTCTCATGGCCAATAGTCACTCCACTCAGCTGGAAATGTTAAATGTATTTTTGGTTTATTTTTATGCAGGCAGCAACCATTCACACTACAAAAGTGGTTGCCCTTAAGCTTATGTTTTGATGCAGACCACAAGATGTTCATGTACTGCTGCATTCCAGTTAAACACACTGTCCTCTACCAGAATAAAATCAGCTGTTGTTTCAGGGCAATTCTGCTCAATAAAATCCCCTAATGTGAGGATTATTTTGAAGGTGCTGTTTCATCCTCTTTAAATGTGGCAGGTGATATTTAAAACACAACACAACAGAAGCAGGATTGGTCCCTACTGGTATTTTTGCTTGATTCTTGCCATCTTTGTGCTTGATTAGAAATTTTATTATTCATATGGGTAAAATCGACTGAAAAGCCCAAATCTGTAAGTTTCTGCTGAAATGGATTTCAAAATATGGTGTCAGTTTTAGTGCTTCATTTCCTACAGGTGTGAGTGTTTTTCCTAAGCTTTGTACACCTTTTGTTTTCCAACTGAGCAGCATCCTCTCAGCAAACACAGCTCAACGTCACCGGATCAGCAGTTTATTGTTCCACTTCTTTGTCAAGCAAGTACTTTAATCTCTCAGGGACAAAATTACCGTTCTTAGTAGCCACACAACAATGGAACACAACTCTAGCCTGGAACTGGACGTTTTGTGCTTAACTTAAAACATTATTCATTTATTTTTAATTATTCATCCGTTATATTGCCCTTAACTCACAGCTGTCTCGCCACCTCCGCTCTGGTACCTGTTGATAGCTTTAGTTTTATGAGACAGTATTGCATCAGGCTTGGCTCTCAATTCCAATATAAATTAAACATTTACATGGTTAACAACGTCAAGGCAAGAGTCGTATGATCAATTAAACCATACTTGACCTTAACTTCTTGAAAGAGGAAGAATAAACAGGGCCCTACATACAGTATATGTGTGGATGGATATACAAACAGGCAGATATTTGTTCTTTTTGCTTCAAGCACACAGTGTATTTCCACATTGGTCCGTTAAAAACGCCTGTAGGACTCTTCAAAAGAAGTGCCTATTGTGGACTGTACTGTAAGTACTGTAAAACCAATTTTTTACGCACATGCCTCGTACCTCTTTGTCAATGTTTACCCTTCACTCCTCAGCATATACACATTCAGACGTAGGTACCAAGCAATGCTCGGCTGTTACAAGGTGTTTCCAACCTGCTGCAGTGATGTTAGAAATAAGATTAAAAGTCAGGGAGAAACTTTAGCCGGTGCCGTAAAACCATGCCTTACTTTTATTGGCAAGAAAAGAGTATTAAACATTCCTAAAGACACCAGTGCCTACTAAAAAACTAAAAAAAAAAGTGTTTACAAGTTCATTCACCTTTTATAAACGCGTAGTGGGTGGGGGTGGGGTGGGGTGGGGGGTCATTTTCGTTTTGCATCATTTTGTGTTTAATGGTCTTGGATTTGAGATAGCTGGACACATTTCTTTTCCAGGGTTTACTGTAACTCTCCAGCCAAACTGTTTCATTAATTTCAGCGTGTCTGTTGAAAATCTAAATATTAGAGGGCGAGAGTTCAGTCAAGAGGATTCCAACACTCAATCAGGAAAGTCAGATGCTTGCAGGATAACACAGATATTCAACATGTCAGAGCCTTTATATTATACAGCTCTGAGGTCAGGCCATTGTTAGTGTCCCTCTGCAGGGTATGTGCAGTGTCCCATAATGTCAGAGCTGAAATAAATGGACTGGGATGAGTTATTGCAGGATGGCTGGCAAGGAGGAGGAATTAAACAAACTGGGGGTCCAGCGGAAAATAAATGTCGCAGGCAGCTCAAATATAAAACATACCCGCAAAGTTATTTTCACTTAGTGTCTAAGTTGATTAAACCTCTTTTTCCACTCCACAGACGCCATGTCAAGTGGATGTTTTGGGTGAAAAACGTTTTGTGAACATCGTTTCAGTCAGTCAGGTCTAGTGTGAGTCTGGGGTGATTTGTTTCCATTACGTCTTTCATTGATAAATTTAGGACATTTCCTGGGCTGACACAACACAATGTGCATAGAGTACAGATGGTGCTTGTTTTCTAGGGGGGATATAGCAAAGTGAATATTAGCAAACCAGTAATGCATATACTGCATGTACAACTATTATAAATGCCGATGCCTTTCATTGTCATTTGAATGGAGCAGTACTCTGGACCAGATTAATTGGGGTGGGTTTTAAAAAAAGTGGCATTATGAGCCTGAAGAATTGAGATCAGCATTCCCAGTCTGACTCAGGTATATGCTACATTTACAAAAAACAAAAAAACAAAACAGGATATGTTCAGGATGGTCACACATTCTCCAGATGAATATTAACATAGCATTTCCTGTTTTTTTCCACTAGAGGATGCTATGTTGTGAAATGTGGGCAGAGAGCCTGTCAGGAAGATGTGTTTCAGTTTCTGTGATGGGTCACAGCAGAGGAAAGAGACATCATTCTTTGGCTGCGGTTTGACTCTGTGGGGGCTCAAATGTTTTAAGAAGGTGATTCTGGCATGGTGCTGTTTAGAAATATTGTTGTTGACCTTTTTCTCTGACATGTAATGAGTGGGACTGAATGTGTTGCTAGCAGATGAATAATAGTGTTAAAAAAAAAAAAGTTAAATTATGCACTGTAACTGTAAAAACTCTCATTGATTGAAGGTTGTGTCCTGTATTTTGACCTAAAGTTGTCAAAGATATGTTTAATAGTGGAACAAGTGAGCAAATGCTCCCAGCTCCAGAGCAGACAATTTACCTTGATGGGACAGATCTGTTGTAACAGACACTTCCTGTCTGCTCCTCCCTCACATTATGAAAAATTAGATGTTTCAGTCCTTTACTAATCACCTGTTGTCTGCACTATTTTCACAATCACGCATTTGGTGACACCAAATATTTGTTTAACACTGCAGGAGGATATTGTGTGAATCAGATGGATTATATTGTGGCATGAGAAGAGAACTCAATATTAAAAAGGAAAATTGAATAACCTCTAAAAAAAAAAAAAAAAAAAAAAGCATGTGCACACACACACACACACACACATACACACACACACACAATATTGAAGTATTGATTGACCAGTATGCTATTGCTGCTGCTGGCATGGAGGCAGGCTGGTTACACGTAAACAGAAACTGTACCAACTCTCTCTCTTTGCAGCGAACGTACTTGTGATCACAACACTATGATATAGCTCAGTGTAACAGGTTTTTTCTTCTTTCACCTCACCTCTACTAGTCCCACTACAACCCCAGCGCTGTTCACACTGGTCCACTTTCTCATGCAATAGCTGTCGTTATCTGTGCTCTCTCTCTCTCTCTCTCTCTCTCTCTGAAACACCTAGCACCCCACCCCTTCTCTCTCCCACCACATTATCTCTCTTTCTCTCTCTCTCTCTCTCTCTCTCTCTCACTCTCACACAAGATAGTGTTGTTGTTTGTTGTTTTAAGCTTGAGTTTGGTCCCACCACTCTCAGGAGAGAAGAGAGGGGAGAGCAGAAGTCTGTTGTGGCCCACTGACAGGGACTACATGGGACGGTCCACCCCAGGGAGCATCTGTTGGGATTATAACACTCTTTCCAGCTCACTTTTTTCCCACTAAGAATAACTCAGTGTGTTGGTGGTGTAGCATCACAGAGGCAACCCCCTTTGTTGAAATGGACAGCTCTATGTCAAGGTTGTTGGACTTGATTTTTAGAGACAGAAAAATATCTGGGGCCCATTGTTGAGGATCTCGGTTTTGTCTGACTGCAGCTCATTTGGAAGAACTCAAGCTTGCTGTTTCCTATTTAGGAGTACAAGGAGAGAGGAAAAAGAAACAGGAGAGAGCCGTTTATCTTGGCACGTCTGTGGTGGTGAGCTCAAAGGAGAACTGACAGCTGACACCATCCTCAATTTCACTTGATTTGATTCGACCCCATACTTCCATTGTCAGTGAGATGATATGCTAACTCACTCTGTGATAGGTCTCTAACAGCCAGGACTCTTTGCCTTTTTAGGCTGTTCACACACACACACACACACACACACACACACACACACACACACATACACACACACTCTTTCTGAGCTCTTAATTTTTTTTTATTTTTCTTTTTTCCGCAAAAACAAATGGACATATCCTTATCGCCTCGACCAAAAACTGCACTGCAAATTCAATTTCCAGCTTGATGCTCTTTGATCCATTGATTCTGCACTGAGCTGGAAGTGAATCGCTTCTAGCTAACAAGTTTTATCTAATAAATAGAGAAGGGGACCCGGCGGGCCTGACTTACTGTTGCGTTCACTTTCATCCTTACTTCTACCAGGTGCAGTTGTTGAGACTCTTGTTTTGCTGTTTTGCATCTTGACGTTGTTTTGCATCTGTCATTCTTGGACCTGTTTTTCCTGCATCGTCCTCTCAAAGGGACCTTTCTCCCGGCGCCATAACTTGTGACCACAGAGAGTGTAAAGGAATTGGGACAGTCCTTTTTGATTCATGACAGCATGGGGGTTTTTGATTGCGCCACAGAAGTTCACATTGTTTATCCCTCGCCTCCCAAAGCTGCTATTTTGATGCTGCTCTGAACTCAACCCAACTCTTTTTTAACCTGCCAATAAAATGATGAACAAAGACTCTCGCTTTTCAAGGAAAATGCACAGCAACTTCTCCACCCGCAGGCACTCGTGCATTGGGTACGTATCCGGCTGTGTGATTGTGATTACAGTTGCTGATGTACAGTGAAGGCAACATAATGCATGTGTGCACAGGGAGTATCTGGCAAGTGCTGCCTGTTTTAGCCTTTTTACAGTACGCGAAATATAATCAGCTGATGGGGAATTTTTGACTGTGCTGCTCTGTCACTGTGTTTACAGTGATATTGTGTTGTATCCATGTTGATGTCTATCTGGTGGTTTTATGCAGGTAACTGCGGCTCTGTATTTGCATATAGATTTTGTTGTGATGTGTAGTTGTGATGTTTCTAGCCCCTGTCTCAGAGTGCCATTTAGATTACATAAAATATTATATATATATAGGCTAGTAATACTATTATAATTATATATATAGTATATATATATATATATTGTTTGAAGACAGAAAACATTTTGACATGAAAATGAATGCCTTTTGCAGTTCTGAAGCACTACTGTGAGTTGTGTGAGTTGTGAGTCTGCACCTGAGTGCTGTTTAAAAATCTGGATTAACTTTAACAAATATCCGCCACATAATTTGACATACACTGTGGTGAAGGCTGTTGCTGTTGCTGTTGCTGTTGCTGTGCTGTGGTCTGCAGTGCAGGCCTTGGGGTGGCTTGGTGGATCAATGGTTCTGTCCACTGATGTCCCTCTTTGGGGTCCATGGACCCGCGCCAAGCCGAGGCGTCCGTGTTAGGCACGGTATGATACATGAGAGCAGCAGATAGAGCAGAGATTTCACCTGTTTTCCATCTTGTCCCGTTGGAAACAAAACAGAGAGAAATAAAAAAGAATGTGTCAAATGAACTCACTTCCAAGAGGTAAATTATTGTAGCAGGTCCTCTTGTCGACACACTGATGTGACTGATTGACTTAATTGTAGCTGAAACTTGATACGGCTGTGTAATCAGCAGGCCAGATTCAAAAAACATAAAATCTACTACAGCTGTCATGAGATCCCTGCAGGATACGATGTTATGTAAGTTTATAGAGACTAAAAAAAAGAGACTCAATGCATGAAACAAAAGAGTACACACACATCATAACCAGCATATGAGTATGCACACACACATATAAACATATAAATCTGCTGGATAACATGACTTTTTGGAGCTTAAGCTCCAAAAGCTGCACAGATTCATAAAGAATCTTTTCTTCCTGCACTGAAAAAAAAAAAACATATCAGAGCTCTCGTGGGATTTTTTTCAGTGCAGTGTGTGGTGTGGCAAACTTTTCTGAACTCTGGGCATAAGGCATGTGCCTCGCGAGTGTCATCCGAACTCCTCCAGCCGTGAGCCTGTTTGGATCATATGAGGAGATCAAAGCAGGAGATTTTAGACCACAGCCAGAAATACAGAAGTGCAGCAGGGAACAGAACAAGCCTCTATTCTCTTATTACCTGATTTGTTCATCAAGCTTACTGACTGAAAAAAAAAAACAGCACTGAAGCGGAGTCACTGTTGGGAGCTTCAGCTCAAAGCAATGTTCAGATCTTGTTTTTCAGTTTCAGCACAAATAAAGACAACGATTTTTTTTTATTGTATGATGATGGAGAGAATACCATGAGTGTTGCGGTGTTACAGCAGTAGAGGTACTTAAATTAGTTAAGTGAGCAGTTAAATTCTTTTACAAAGGAATAATTTTCTCTGCCCTCATGCAACACACACACACACACACACACACACACACACACACACACACACACACACACACACACACACACACACACACACAGACACACACACACATGCACACACCCTGAGACAAAGCAGTCTCTTGTAATCCAGATGTGTCCATCACAATAGAGACAGTTCTTATCCGCACTTGTACTAACAGTACCAGGGCACCATTCATCCTACCCTATGACTTTTACACACACACACACACACACACACACACCCACACACACACACACACACACACACTCCTAACCTTATCAACAATGCTTTTTATGGCTTCTCTGGCAGTGTGGTACATTTAAACAACACTGTGTCACTGCATTAAGCCAAACATGGCATGAGATGAGAGCTCTCAGTCAGTGTCATGAGAAGATAGTTGTTGCTGCAGTAACAGTTTGAGAAGATGCCATTTATCTGAAGTAGAGAGCGACGGGAAGAGACAGAGTGAGGTGAGAGCGAGAGAGACAGACGCAACAGTTGACTGACTGGGAAAAAGAGATAATTTACACAAAGAGGCTAACGGCACAGACGAGAGGGCGGTGAAGAAGTGATAGGGAGGACGCGGGTTGAGATAGCGCTGCTTTTAGCGCAGAGATAATGACTGGAAGCAGAGGGTTAGACCGAGGGGCAGGGGCATTACAGGGTGAGTAGAGAATAAAAAGATATTTCTGAAGTAGACAAAAAAAAAAAAAGAAGAAGAAGAGAGGCAGAAAGTGATTGTGACTAAAAGAATAATGGGGAAAACAAAAAAAAAAAGTGTCAAGTGAGGCCACCCCACCAAAGAGCAACAGTGTCAATGTCAGAGGTCCCAATATAGCCGCCAGCCCCCCCCTTCCCCAACACACACCAAGATTAGTCAATAGGGCCTGTGTGGCTGTGGCGGGCTGGCTGTTGTGTGCGTCACTGCTGTACTCCATATTTTCAGCATGACTGATTTCCCCAATCGCCTCCAGAGCCTCATCGATTCCTGAGGCCGGCAGCAGCAGCAGCAGCAGCAGCAGCAGCACAGCACTAACACCGCTGACATTCAAAATGAGCAGCTCTACTGTATTTCCTACTCAGACTGTGAGAGGACATGAGAGCCGTCTTTCCTTTATCCAAAGTTCACAGAGACCGTGGAAACAATCAAAAGATGAGAAAGATTAGAACTGCGAAGGAAATGACAGTTTTAAGTGATTTCTTTCTGACAGTTCTCTGCCCTGAACAGAGTGGAGAAGCTGCTACTTTAGTTATTAGTATTAGCAGAAATCAGGATATATCCTCCAAATAGATTTAAAAAAAGTGTGATTAGATACAGTCAAGTTTGTAATACACACCGATCAGCCACAACATTAAAACTGGCAGCTGGTTCAAATGTTGTAGCTGATTAGAAAATTAAAAAAATCATCATTTTTTACCAAATATTGTTTCACCTTATTATTGATGAATATGTGGATTGAGAATGGAGAAAGAAACTATTGTATCAGACGTCAGTGGTGCGTGTTAGCTCTGTGCTACAGCAGTATCAGGACGACTGTTCACTGTAACCACTAGAGGGGGAAACTGACTTGGTTATGCTCAGAAACTGATGGAGAGCAATGACCTCCTGTTAGACCAGGCGCTACTCGGATATGGGAAAATAAAAACACAATGTATCGGTTTGGTAGATTCAAATTTTATTTTTAGGCTGCTGGAAACCGGCCATGTTTCACTAATGAGACTTTCACGGTGCTGTGGAGTTTATGTATTTGTATTGATCATGCGGCAGAAGGCTGACACTTTTACACTCTGAAACACAGCATTGTGTGTTTATAGTTGGTTTGTGTTATTTTTCTGCTGCGGCTTCCTCTGCCTGCTCTGTATATGCAATATACCTGCTGCACTGTCTGTCCAGCTGTGCCAGAGGTTTCTCCCCTTTTCTTTTTCTTCTTTTTTCTTTTTAAATGACAGGTCTTGCGGTTCATATTGTACGGAGACAGATCTATGATTCTGAGTACACAAATACTATTACAACCCAACTACTGATAAGTTGCAAATTATTTTTATTTAAACACCTGGCACATTGATTTTATGAAAGGTTTAATAATCTCTTTGAAGTAATATTAATATTTATCGGCAAAATCAGACACTCAGCTCAGCTCCAATAATTATTTTATTTTCTAAGTTTAATTTTTACATTAATTTTTAACAGTGTCTTGCAGAATTAACTTCCTGTTAGGTACTTACAAAAATGTTGATGTATTCCTCTGTCGTTCATACGATACCTTTTGGCCCTTGTAACCTCAATGATCAGTAATTTATTATCACCTAAAAGTATATTTTAGTTGTTTGTTTTTTTTTTGGTTTGTTTTTTTGCTGGATGTACCACATGTACTACTAGTCTTACGAACACCTATACACATACAGTGCCCATGTACACACACTTGCAGTAAGCTACACACTAGCTCAGAGTGAGCATTTCACTTATATTTCCCACAAACACTTCCCTGCTGAGGGAGTGGCCACCTGCCACAGAGGTGTGCGCACAGACGTGTGTAAGTCTGAATGTCCATTTAATGTGTGTGTTTGAATGTGTGCCCATGTCCCTGCACACGTGCATGCATTAGTGAACTCCCTTGTGCTTAAATCCTGGCATTTTTTTTGGCTGTGTGTGTGTGTGCGTGAGCGTGTGTGTGTGTGAGACTGCGTTTGCATGTGTGCGTACAAGTCTGTCATCCACCCAATTCCCAAATCGGAGGAGCCCCAAACTCTACCGTCATGCTAGCAGATGGCAGCCTAATGAATCATGAGGCGACACACTGATAGCCTTTACTACAGTACATGCTGTAACATGACGTTTGACATCACTGAGACTCAGTTAAATATAGGCCGCTAGCAACAGCCACATGCTGACACCTGGTGCTGTTGCTTTGTTACGTCCGCAGTATATTAGATGACATTTGTACCAAGAAGAAATTTGCTTTAGTTTGTTTGATTTTCTCCTGCACTGTGGTAAATGCTTTTAATTTGAAATAACCAGGACAAGTGCTGTACTGTTTGGGTGCTTTGAAAGATGTAACACGCTGTAAGCCTGTTTTTCTAGTATTTCCAGGGA